AGACAGTATTATATGGGAAAAGGCTCTGATATATCAATAAAACAGAACTGAGAACCCCAAATAATTTCATGTTTATGAGAACATGGTACACACTGAAAAGGGGAAAATTTGGATTATTTAGTAGATGGTATTAGAAAAACTGAGTACAATCCTACAGTGATGCCCAGCAGACATTCATACTCACGATACCGAAAGGATGCAACTTGGCACCAAGGCCACTTAGTTTGGCACTAGGATAGTAAGCAAGCACAGTAAACACGGCATGGAGAGGAGAGCATCCTCCTTAGAGAAGCCTAATGAAACAGAGGAAGCACTGTCTTGTAAAAATCCCTGAAGATTCCCATTCCAGTTCTCAGCAATGAGGAACAAGCTCAGTTACCAGTCGTACCTTACTCAGAAGTCTCAAAGCCTGTGCCCTTTTGTTGTACATCAAAAAATGTTGCTGGTTAAACATTTGACATTCTGTATTTATCTTAATCCTGTAGATTTCTAAAATTGTGCAAAAGAAAAGGTAAACCCAAGATAATTTTCCCAGACTGAGAGAGAGAAGGGGTTTTGTTAACTCTTTCCCCTTAGTAACTAGCTGGAGAAAAAGCTGAACAATTACCTCATACTACAACCAAATGTAAGTTCCAATTAAAATTAACAACTTAATTGTAAATGATAAAACTATAAAACTGAAAGAAGAATAAGACCTAAAAAACAATTGGGAAGAAAATGAAAGACTTCCATTCCATGAAGGACACCAAGGCAAGAATTAACAGTGATAAGACTAAGTTATTTCTAACATCTGAAATTGACAAAGAAGTAACATCTAGAATCTATGAAGAATTCCTTGTGCTATAATCAGTAAGAAAGAGAAAAACCTAATAGAAAAATGGGCAGCCCTGGCTGGAGTGGCTTAGAAGACTGAGTGCTGCCCTGTGAATAGAAAAGTTGCTGGTTCGATTCCCAGTCAGGGCACATACCTGGGTTGTGGCCAGGTTCCCACTGGGGGGTCATGTGAAAGGTAATCAATCAATGTATCTCTCCCACATATTGATGTTTCTCTCCCTCTCTTTCTCCCTCCCTTCCCCTCTCTCTAAAAAACTAAAGTCTTAAAGAAAAGAAAAATGGGCAATTAATGTAGCATTTTCCATAGAATGACTAAAAAGCCTATGCTTAGTCTCATTAGCAATCAGATAATGCAGATTAAGACAATATACAATTTCACACATATTAGAATAACAAAAATCAGAAAATATCAAGCGCTGCTTAAAATGTAAAGAACAGGGAAACCCTCATGTCTTGCTAGTGCAAGTATAAACTTGTCCAACCATTCGTAAGGACAATCCAGCATTATTTAACTAAAATTAAAAATGCATATACCTAAAACCCAGCCATTCTTCTCTAGAACACATATATTATCATAGAAACTACAGGGTAGGTTCATAGAAAGGCATGTACACATTTCTAGAAGTAGGAATAGCAGGAAACAACCTAAGTATCTATGACTACAGGAAAAGATAAACTATGGTACGTGAATAGAATAACATGCATCAGTAAGAAGCATGTTATATAAAGTAACATGAATAGGTCTTAAAACCCTAATACTTTATAAGTTAGAAGCAAAATGAGATTTCACAATATCAATTTTATAAAATTGAGAACTTACATAAAATAAATATTATATAGTTTTTCAAGGAAATATATTCAAAATCTGGAAGAAGGCTTGGAAAGATAAATAGTAAATATATTAAGGAATGAGGAGTATAGAACTGGAGGCAGGAGATGAACAAAAACTATCAGGGTACAATAAAACAAAACAAAAATGTAGCCTTTCTAGACCAATGATATTGATGTCAATAAAAAGCATGATCAAAGCCCTGGCTGGTGTAGCTCAGTGGATTGAGCATGGGCCTGCCAACCAAAAGATCGAAGTTCAATTCCCAGTCAGGGCACATTCCTGGGTTGCAGGCCAGTTCCCATCAGGGGCCAGTTCCCAGCAGGGGATGCACCAGAAGCAACCATACATTGATATTTCTTTCCTTCTCTTCCCTTCTAAAGATAAATAAATAAATTTTTTAAAAAAATTACTAAAAAAAAAGTATGATCAGTAACTGACTTAATTCTGAGCAACTGAAATTCTTAAAAATCAAAACATTTCTTTTACATGAGCAGAAATACTGTTGAGACTTGTTACACAATTTAAATGTGGAAAACTATTCATGGGGTATTACATAGTAAGTATCTCACAGGATTTGTGAGTTAGTTGGCTTTTTTTCAAGATTATTATTATTTTCTTTGAGAGCGAGGGGAAGGAAGAGGGAGAGAAACATAAACCAGCTGCCTCTCACAAGCCCCTAACTGGGGAACTGGCCTGCAACCCCTGCAAGTGCCCTGACAGGGAATCCACTGAGCCACACTGGCCAGGGTGAGTGAATTGACTTGAAAAAAAAACAGTTCAGGCCCTGGCCAGGTACTCCAGTTGGTTAGAGTGTCACCATGATATGCCAAGGTTGTGGGTTTTATCCCTAGTCAGGGCGCAGGCAGGAGTCAACCAATAAATGCATAAGTAAGAATAACAAATCTCTTTTTCTCTTTCAGTCTCTCTCCCTTTCTCTCTCTCTCCCTAAAATCAATAATTTTTTTTAAAAGTTCTAAAAAAACTATACAATATGAAGGACATTTCAAGTCAATGCTGAACCCCCCCCCCCCCCCCAAATCTCTTGTGCTGAATGAATATTCCTGTTTTCTTAAGTTAGGTATTCTGGTATTCATAAAAAATAATTTAAAATTACATTTTGACAAAGTATAAGAACAATCTAAAATTCTAGACTGATAACACTTTGTGACATTTTTACAGGATGTAGTAAGTTTAAGTATACATGGAAATATTTACTTTTTAAAGTATTTTTTTATTGGTTATGTTATTAGTTATCCCACTTTTTCTTCTCCCTTTTATCACCCAGCTTCCTGGACCCTCCTTCCCTCCAGCATTTTCCCCCCCCCTTATTGCATGTCCATGGGTTGTACATATAAGTCCCTTAGCTTCTCCATTTCCTGTTCTTAACCTCTTCTTGTGTATTTTGTACCTAACAATTGTGCTTCTTATTCCCTGTACCTTTTTCTCTGTCCCCCAGCCCCCACCCACTGATAACCCTCCATGTGATCTCCATTTCTGTGATTCTGTTCCTGTTCATTTGCTTAGTTTATTTTTTAGGTTCAGTTGTTGATGGTTAAGTTTGTTGTCATTTTACTGTTTGTAGTTTTGGTCTATTTCTTAGATAAGCCCCTTTAACATTCAATAAGGGTTTGGTGATGATGAACTCCTTTAACTTGACTTTATCTGCCCTCCTATTCTAAATTATATCTTGGCTGGATAGAGCAATCTTGGATGTAGGTCCTCGAAATTCATGGCTTGGAATACTTCTTTCCAGCCCCTTCTTGCCTGTAAGGTTTCTTTTGAGAAATCAGCCAAAAGTCTTATGGGAACTTCTTTGTAGGTAACTGTCTCCTTTTCTCTCGCTACTTTTAAGATTTTCCTTATCTTTAATCTTAGGTAATGTAATTATGTGTCTTGGTGTGTGCTTCTTTGGGACTATCTGAGCATCCTGGACTTGCATGTCTACTTCCTTCACTAGATTGGGGAAGTTTTCCTTAATTATTTGTTCAAATAAGCTTTCAATTTCTTGCTCTTTCTCTTCTTCTGGCAGGCCTATGATTCGGATGTTGCAATGTCTAAAGTTGTCCCAGAAGGTCCTATGCCTGTCCTTATTTTTTTTTTAAATTCTTGTTTCTTCATTCTGTTGCAGCTGGATTCCCCCCCCTCCAAATTGTTGATTTGAGCCCCATTTTCCTTTCTTTCACTGTTTTTATTTTGTATAGCCTTTACTTCTTCCTTTATTTTGCATCCATGCGCAATCATTTCTGTGAGCAGCCTGATTACCAGCGTTTTGAACTCTCCATCTAATAGGTTGGCTATTTCTTTTGTTGCTTAGTTCTTTTTCTGGAGTTTTAATCTGTTCTTTCATTTGGGCTGCATTTCTTTACCTTGGCCTACCAGCTACTTTGTAAGAGGTGGAAACTTAGGTATTTGTCAGGGTGGGGCAACCCACATTGCTGTGTTGTGGCACTGTGTGTGTGTGGGGGGGGGAGTCAGAGAGGGAACAATGGTGCTTGCTCAGCTCTCACCCCACTTTGTGACTTTCCCTGCTGTCCACAAGTGAATAGGGCCCTTATAGTGCTGATTCTTGGGTGGGTGGGTTTGTGTACATTCTAGGACCATGTGGGTCCCTTCAACAGACTTCCTGCAAGGACAGGAGTTTCTCCCATCACTGTAAACCCCACAGGTTTTTACAGTCAGAGGTCTTGAGGATTTATTTCCATGTGCTAGACCCCTGGGTTGTGTGGTCTATCTCACTCCCCAGTTGTTCCTCTTGGTTTATCCACGTGTGAATGTGGAACTGCTTGGTCTGCCAGCCACCACCTTGCTGTGTGTCCTCTCCACCCCTGCTGCCTGTCTCCACTACTCCTACCAGTAGGAACGATTGTTTCTTCCTTAACTCTTTGATTGTCAGACTTCCATTTGATTTTCTGGCAGTTCTTTGTTTTTTATTTTTAAATTGGTGGTGTCCTCCTTTTGGTTGTGCAAGGAAGCAAAGTGTCCCTACCTATACCTCCATCTTGGCTGAAGTCTACACGAAAACATTCATAAAACATGTAACTGCTATAACATCTTACTTTTTATTGTGATATACGCATATATAGCAAATATGTATATATATATTTTGTATTTTTATGTTTTACTGATTATGCTATTACAGTTGTCCCATTTTCTCCCCTTTATTACCTTCTGCCCTGCACTCTCCCACCCACATTCCCCAACCTTTTAGTTCATGTCCATTGGTCATACCTGTTAAGTTCTCTGGCTTCTACATTTCCTATACTATTCTTAATCTCCCCCCGTCTATTTTCTACCTACACTTATGTTACTTATTATCTCTACCTCCCCCCCCCACTCTCCTCCTCCCAATTCCCCTGTTGCTAACCCTCCATGTGATCTCCATTTCTGTGATTCTGTTCCTCTTCTAGTTGTTTGCTGTTTGTTTTGGGTGTAGTGTTTAATAACTGTGAGTTTGTTGTCATTTTGGTATTCATATTTTTATCTTCTTTTTCTTAGATAAATCCCTTTAACATTTCATATAATAAGGGCTTGGTGATGATCAACTCCTTGAATTTAATCTTATCTGAGAAGCACTTTATCTGCCCTTCCATTCTAAAAGGAAGCATTGCTGGATAGAGTAATCTTGGATGTAGGTGCTTGCCTTTCATGACTTGGAATACTTCTTTCCAGCCCCTTCTTGCCTGCAAAGTCTCTTTTGAGAAATCAGCTGACAGTCTGATGGGAACTCCTTTGTAGGAACTGTCTCCTTTTTTCTTGATGCTTTTAAGATCCTCTCCTCTTTAGTCTTGGCTAATGTAATTCTGATGTGCCTTGGTGTGTTCCTTCTTGGGTCCAACTTTAAATTCTTGTTTCTCCACTCTTTTCTGGTTGAATGTTTCTTTTTTCTGGTCCACTCCATTGATTTGAGTCCCAGTTTCCTTCTCATCTTTGTTGGCTCCCTGTATATTTTCCTTTATTTCACTTAGCATAGCCTTCACTTTCTCATCTAGTTTGCAAGCATATTCAACCAATTCTGTGAGCATGGTGATTACCAGTGTTTTGAACTGTGCACCTGATAGGTTGGCTATCTCTTCATCGCTTAGTTGTATTTTTTCTGGAGCTCTGATCTGTTCTTTCATTTGGGCCATTTTTTGTTTTGGTGAGCTTGCTACACATAAGGGGCAGAGCCTTAGGTGTTTACCAGGGTGAGGCAATTTACATTACTGTGTTGTGGCACTGTATGTTGGGGAGGAGTCTGAGAAAGAACAGTGGTGCTTGCTCTGCTCTTTGCTGGTTTTCAGTCACTTCCCCCAGTACCCACAATGAAATTAGGCCCTTCTGGTGCTGTTTCCTGGTGGATTGGCTTGTGTACATTTTAGGACCCTGTGGGGCTCTCCAACAAACTCTCGTGTGAGGCTGGGAGTTTTTCCCACTGCTGCCTCAACTCCCACCAGTGTTTTCAACTAGAGGTTTAATGCTTTATTTCCCGGCACTGAAGCCCTCGGTTGCATGGTCTGTCTTACTCACCAGTTGTTCCTCCCAGTTTATCTGAACGTGAATGTGGGACCACCACCTCCACCAGCTGCCACCTTGCCGTGTCCTTCACACACTGCCTTGCCACAAGTCCTCTCTGCCTGGCTGCCCTTCTTCACCCCTCCTACCCGTCTGGATGAATGTTTATTCTTTAACTCCTTGGTTGTTGGACTTCCATACAGTTCAACTTTCTGTCAGTTCTGGCTGTTTTTTGTTTTTAAATTTTTGTGGTCCTTCTTTTGGTTGTGTGAGGAGGCACAGTGTATCCACCTATGCCCCCATATTGGCTGGAACTATGGATTGTGCTTTATATTTTTATTTTTATTATTTTTTTTGATAAGGATGTATTGGTGCCTGGTTCTTCACTGATTGTCGGACAGCAAGTTCATTTACCTAGTCTTTGAAAAGAACCAGACCCAAAAGTGACATTTTAGAAAAATACTTCAAAAGCATAGGTGAAAACACTATGTTTCCAGGGACATTATGCCTTTCTTTTTTTTTTTATTTTAATTTTATTTTCAAGTACATTTTTTGTCTATTTCTCCCATCCCAGCCTGTGCTTTATATTTTTAAAAAACACTCTCAATTTCCTCCCTTTTGGCAATCTGAATAGCATACGGTGGTTGACAAGAACAAGTACCTTACAAAAGCCAAGAAAAAAATGGTCAACCCATTTTCTATGAAAGATTGGTATAATATGAAAGTACCAGCTATGCTCAATATGAGAAATACTGGAAAAACACTAGTCATGAGAACACAAGAAACCAAAATCACACTCTGATGGTCTCAAGGGTTGTGTTTTTAAGGTGAGCCTAGCTGATCTGCAGAATGATGTAGTTGCATATAGAAAATCCGAGGTAATTACTGATGACATTCAGCACAAACACTGCCTAATTTCCATGGCATGGATCTTACCCATGACAAAATGTGCTCCATGGTCAAAATATGGCAGGTCATGAATTAAACTCATGTTGATTGATATCAAGATTATTGATGGGTATTTGCTTCATCAGTTCTATGCTGGTTTTACTAAAAAAAATGCAACAATTAGATTCTGAAAACCTCTTATGCTCAGCATCAACAGGTCCACCAAACCTAGAAAAAGATTATGGCAATGACCTGAGAGGTACAAACAAATGACGTTAAAGAAGTGGTCAATAAATTGATTCCAGATAGCACTGGAAAAGACACAGAAAAGGCTTGCCGATCTATTTAACCATTCCATCATGTCTTTGTTAGAAAAGCCAAATGCTAAAAAATAAAGAAGCTCAAGTTTGAACTGGGAAAATTCACAGAACTTCACAATGAATGTAGCAGTTCTGGAAAAGCTATGGGTGACGAGACAAGTGCTAACATTGAACAAGCTGATAGATAATGAGCTTTCAGTTCAAGCATCTGTTTAAAATTAAGATTAATGGTGACAAATAAAAAATCCTATTTGTGAAAAAAAGCTCTCTCATTTGAGGCAGATGTAGCTATGCTCAACATTATCAATGAGGAAACTAAAACTCATGCAAGTTAAATCTTATAGTAAGTAGTAGTGGTGTCCAGATTAGATTCCAAAACCTAGATTTGTGGTCTTATTTTTATTTAACTTACCTTCTTGATAATTTATATATAAATGTAAATTTAATACTTTTCTTTAACTCACAAGGAAACAAAACAGACACACTGGTTTGCAGTTAATACATACAATGAAATAAAAAAAAAGAAACTTTTTATATCAATTCCAATCCTGCAAAAAGAATTAACAGTTTTATCTTCAAAGAACATCAATCAAGTTTAATGTATTTTTATTTGCCCAATAAGGGTAACTTTTAAAAATAAAATTTAACTGCATTCAATTTATGTTCTTTTTTCCATTAAAGCACAAGATGAAGGACAGTTATATTAAAGTAAATGTATAATTATGATACACTGACAGATTAAATCAAGTATACCCATATAAATAAAATGTTAAAACATGAAAATTTACAGTCCTCTTACTTTTTCCTTTCTAAACCGACAAAATAAAATCAGAAAAAATTAGTAAATAAAACCTGTTTTCTTATTGTAACTTGTGATTTATTATTTTATTTGAAAATGTTTTGGTTTAAGTTAGTAATTTCTGTAAAGTACTACTTCTTAAGTAAGTTCCTAAAAATAACAATATTGAAGCCTTGAACATTACATTTCATGTCATCTAAAAAAGTACAGCAAAACTGTCATAATAAAAAATGATTATAAAATTCCTCTTATTCGAATCCTAAATTCCTTTTCCAGATTTTAATAGAAAAGGAATTTTCATACCCATAGTTACCAGTCAGATAATATATATTGCAATTCAGCATACTTAACTGAAAAATAAACATCCTAAGACAAGTGAAATTATTCTTGTTATTGGTTCTGTGCTATACTCTTCTCCCTATACATCTTTAATATCAGTCACAAATTCTACTGTAAAGACTTATCTTTTCTAACTTAAATAGCACTGACTCAATCAACATTTCACCTGTACACTTCACTCAGCATTCAATTCAGATGTCTCAACACCAAACTTAAAAAATTTGTTTCAAGAACAAAATCTCCATAGATTACTCTGTAACAAAACACAGCAGAACCTCTAATTGTAGAACAAAAGTGGAAAATAATATACAGGAAACTTTATCTCAACTTAAAGGTTAACTAATACCTGGGTGTTAGAAGAAAACATACTTAAGATATGTAAACTTTGCTATATTTTTACTTTTTTCTGTATAGGGTCAACATTTGTATTTTAAATATGTTACTCATTATATTGTCATTTCAAAAGAGAGGTTCCCAAGAAGCTTTTAGTAAAGTTCTATGCTGAGTACATATTTGGTTCCTATATGTTTTGGCCAGAACTGTTCTAGAATTACTTATTTGGTTAACATAAAATCTATAAAAAGAAAGATAAAAATACTAAATCAAAATCTCTATTAAAAAACTGCAAGTTTTCAGCAATACCTGTGAATATATTCTTGTATACCTGTACTCCTGACAGCATTACTTTGCAGTATGATCACAGCAAGTATACAAATTTTCCAATTCTTTTGTGGAAATATTCAGTGTACTGAAATTTAACTGCATTTAAAATCATTATTAAACAAAAAACAAGTCACATAGCATTATCATATGCTAAATGATAATTCAGGTTAGTAAAAACTAAACCTAAAAAATGTATATTTTCAATGCATAGCCTGAATATGGATTTCTAAAAAGTAATTTTGCTAGTTAGAAGCAGAGAATCTATGGGAAGATTTTAAATCATTACTGCTAGAACTGATTATATCATTAAACACAAACTCAAAGGACTTAAGTCTGGTTGGAGAAAAAGAAAAGTAAATCTTTCCTATATCCTGTTTTACACAGGACGAAAACTAGTCATATTCCAAAGAAGAAAAAGTTCTTTGATCCTCAGAAGAAATGAAATAATCTGTAAGAAAGATAAGTGTCAGCCTTTTTATTAGCAGGGAAAAAACTATGAAAGCTAAATATCACTCTAGAACCATCTCTCTCCCTATGCTTCTAGCAACCTTTTCAAGATATTTTTGAAAATACAATAAAAGATGATGGTACCAATTGTTAGTGGGCAAAAACATTATTGCCTAAAACAACCCAAGACTGAATGTAATACAGATCCAGAAAATTTTTATTATTCAATATAAGTTGTAAAAAAATTAGCCTTTTTTCCTGTTCTCACATGGTAGCACTCAATTCCTGAGGATTCCAATGTAAGTAATGTAGAATTTTAAAAAGCATTAATAATTTCTACTTAGCAAACAGTATATTCTGTAGTTCATCACTCTTTACTCCTTCAATAAACATAGGGTTTTAATAAGATGAAAATGATACCAGTTTCCATAATGTTAAAATCTGGGTGAAATAAACATCCTTGTGGTCCAATCACTTATAAAATGTGACCAGGTCGCTAGATCAACATACTAGTGTACAACTTTAACAATTTCTAGCAGCAAAACACCTGGAATAGCAATTAATAAATGTTTTCACAGGACTGTAGAATAATTTCTCTGTAAGAAGTAATTTTTAAAAAAGTACTCTACAGTTCAACTGCAGGCAAACATGAAAGATATCAAAGATCTTATTTATCTCCACTTGTCCCAGTGGGATCAGGTGCAACTGGAACCTTACTAGTTTCAACAAAGACAGATTCAAAGGCAGCTTCCTGTTCATCCAAAGAATCGGCAGCTGTGGCTCCTTTAATTAGTGTTGTATTGGTCAAAGACTGTTGCTGTGTGGAAATTTTACTGGATTCCAGTGTTTTCCTACCTCTTCTTTTACCAAGAATTTTGACATAATTAGCAGGTATAAGTCCTGTTGTTTGACCATCAAGACTAGCCAGAAGCCAACCACGCACTCTGGGTTGCTGTTCTGATGAAAGAAAAGACAGCCTTGTAATTACAGCATACTTTGGAGATTTAACGGACTATATTGATGGTAAAACATGTATTACAACTATATGTAATAAAATATATAAACAAATAGTATATATACAAGCATTCAATATCAAATAATGACAGGCTCAACATTTCTAGGGTCCCTTCTTACAATTTATACATTTTATACTTACTAAATATATTTTCAACCTTGAAGAACATAAAAGCTTCTGTCAGTTGGTCCATTTATAGAGTAATGAGATTCAGCTATCCTAAAAGCTGAAAACTAACATCAACATCTTTCATATTGTAAATTGGAATTTGAGAAATAAATTTCTCAATCCTTCTTAGCAGGTAAGTCAGGCATAAGTATAGAAAATAAATATATACTTTCACATAAGCCAGCTTTCTTTACATACTTTTAGCCAAAATGTAAAATTTATCCCTTGTGATTATGAGGGATAAGCATGGAGACAGTGAATGTTAATTTTAATCCAAGATGGGCAAAAAATGAAGACCTCTGTTACCTCTAGCCATATGAAAAAAGTTAAAGGAACTAACCTAAGCTTAAAGTAGGAAAGATTATTTAATATATTCCATTTTATATTTTGTATTTTGTATTATTTAATATATTCAATTTTGTATTCTATTTTATCCATGTCTTTAAAAAGCTGTTAAACTGTTACAGTTTAGTTCAATATTATAGTTTAGGTACAATGTGACATTTTAATGTTTAATATGCTATAAAAATATAAAACAAATTAACCATGTCTGTGATTGATTTCGTTCTAAATGTGCAAATATACTTTACTTGAGTGATGAAAGAAAGCAAAGAAGCAAAGCCAAAGTGTTAGGAGGCAATATTAGGAGAAAAATAATATAAGACGTTTTTCTGAATCATTGTAATGTAACTGAAAGACACCTTTTTTATTCTTTATTTAGAGTAATTTAAACTAATTATCTGTACTGGTCCTATCTTTAACAACAAACCCTATAAAAAAGTCCTTTTGAAATCCGAAATAGTAAGGTGTGGCTCTCACTAGAAGGAAAATATGGATAGAACACCTAGAAGCCAAGATTTTGTGTATGAGGGGATGTGGTAGAGATTTAACAAATTTGATCCCAAATTTTTAATTATTTACACATTAAACTAATAATTTGAATATCTATGGTATTTTTCTTTATGTAAAGAGCGACTAAAAGCAATTAAAGGCAAAAGCTCCTATTAATAGATTATACAGAAAACAGCCCAAGCATTTAAAAGCATAGGTTTCCAAAGCCAGATAAACCTAAGTTCAAAGTCCAGCTCCACTACATCTTAGTTTTGTGATACTGGGCAATTTACTCAGAATTCTGAGTCTTAGTTTTCTCATGTATAAAACAGGGACAGGATAGTTAACAGTTCGCACTTCACAGCATTATTATTTTAAGGGTTGTTATTATTATTACTAGTATCTTTACCAACTATGTGACTTTTTGCAGCAAACTGGAATCTTCAAAAACACACAAAAGATCTTTCTTTGTAAATCAACAAAAATTCTGTTCATCAATACTGGGGATAGCTAAAGAAAAAAATCATTTTGCCTGGAGCAATTAAAAACTGTGAGTGACCTAGTCTAAATACTTCATGACAGTAATTCCTAAAATACTCAAGTTGAAGTTTCTGAAGTAAACACTATTTAAGTAAGAAAGAAAGCAATATCAGCCTCAGCAATTAAAGAAGGAAACGGATGTTTAAGTAACACTAGATAATTTCATTGTTAGATTTGTTGTATTTAGTGTTTACCCCATGTTTTTGTGTGGGGATTAACAGAGTTTGGAATTCAAGTGTTTTGGGTTTAGAAGAGATTGTATAAACAAACTCCTTATCTCAGTCAAATATTATTGGAACAACTTTGTTGGGATATTTTTCCACCACCACCCAAACCCCAAAGTTCTAAATAGACACGAAAGAGAAATCCTAGTAACTACTTTAAGTTGATCAACAATAACCAATACCTCTTGTTGTAGTTTTTAATATTACACTTATAATTTCTAAAACTTCACAGATAATTTCAATTTATTCATATTTTGTTACCTTTGAGAGCTAAGTTCAGCATATCACCAGCATGAAAAGAAATTTCTTCTTCAGATACAGCAGCAAAATCATATTCTGCTCTAGCAACTACATGGTCATCCTCACCACTTGCCCAGTTGGTATTGTCTATAAACCAAATTAAGATTTGGTTAGTAAAACTTACAAAAAAAATGAAGTTATTTCGCTGGCCATGGTTTGCAAACTGCACACATTTATTTGCCAAGAAAAGTCTCCTCCTACAGTAAATTCTATAATTAACATGATATAAAATCAACAGCATGTTCACTAGGGTATCTATTATGAACTTTTCCCTTTTCTTCAAGCTCGAAATTCTAGCTCCCTTACTTTGAGCCAAGGTTTGGCAAATTTTTTTCTATAAAGGGTCAGGTAGTAAATATTTTAGGCTCTGCAGGTCATGAAGCAAACGGAAGATACTGTAGTTACTTATACAGTGAGAGAAATAACTTTTCCATAATTTTTTGACAAAACTCAAATGTAATAAAAATTGAGTTTAAAAAACTAATACAGGTCTACTACTGAGAAGAATGGGATTTTGGCAGTTCAAAGGCAGTGTTTCCTGTCATATCAAGTGCAAATATTCATCTGTTAATGCTCATTCATAAAGATTTGAGGTATTTCGTCTTTGAAAATGTGTTTTGCACAGACAGGTACTGACAAATCCTGATTATCAGTCCAATGAACTTGTGGTTTTAACTAAGCATATTCACCCATAAGGTGAATAGAGTAGAATTCTGTTAAATTCTTTTGCAATAACTTTTACCATGTCATTACATGAGAGATTAGTAATTTCCAAATGAACATTAAGTGGAAGCTTCTCAAGTGTATAGTTCAATGGAATGTGAAATATAGAAATTTCCTTTGCACTTGCATGGATGTCCCCAACACTGCATTCTTCCCTCCCTCATTTCCTGCTACTCAGACTTTGTTCCTTTCCCACGGGCTCCCTTGCTGTTCACATGACATACCGGGCACACTACCACTTAAATACCTTTGCACTTTGCTGTTCCCAGACTGGCGGAGCACTGTAATCTCACTTCCTAACCCTGGTTACGTAACACTCATCCTTGCTTTTCCCAAAGGCACTTACTACCTTCTGACTTCTATAGATGACCCTTGAACAATGCAGGGGTTAGGAGTGCTGACATCCCCCTCTCCCCATCCCGTCCCGTGCAGTCCAAAGTCCATGTGTATCTTGTGACTTTATAGTTGGCCCTTCGAATCATCCATGGTTGGGAATGCAAAAAACAGTTTTTGACCTATGGCTGATTGAATCTGTGGATTCAAACCTGCAGATTCAAAACCCACATATAGGAAAGGCTGAAAAAAATCAGCATATAAATGGACCCTGAAGTTCAAATCTGTGTTGTTCAAAGGTCAACTGTATATATTTTAGCTTGGTTTATTGCTGTCTTCCCCGGAGAGTCAGAAGGGCAGGCATTTTCTTATAATATTTTATTTACTACTATATTCTAAACTCCTAGAATAGTAGTTCTAAAAAATGTTTATTGAATTGATGAATGAAACACTGATTTCTCTAATAACCCAAGTTTAAGGGTCTAGGGCATTTTGATTCCACCTTTCCCTTTATGTACCACACCTATCCAGTGGGTAACTAAATTTGTTGAGTCCTGCTTTTCATATATCCTAATTTAGGCCTTCATTATTTCTACTCCAGTCAACTGCAAAAGCATCATAACCGATATCCTCATGTTAATAAACACTTATTAAGCACCTTCTATGTCCTAAGCAGGTTGTTAGCTTCTGGGGATACAAAGATAAACATAACCTAACATTCTTTATGAACCTTACCAACCAATTTCAATTTGTTCTAACCTGTACTGATCTATCTTAAACACTTGAGACTGATTAACTTCATCAGAACACTGTTTACATGCCCTGGACAGGTAGTTCAGTTGGTTAGAGCATCACCCTGATATGTCAAGGTTGTGGGTTCAATCCCCAGTCAGAGAACATATAAGAATCAACCAATGAATGCATCAATAGGTGGAACAATAAATCTATGCTTCTTTCTCCCCCTTCTTCTATAAAATCAATTTTTTAAAAAGAACACTATATATATATGTAATAAGTCTGTTTAAACACACACACACAAATCCTTCCCTTACTAAATAAAGATTAAGATCTTCCATTATTAGCCTCCACCCTCATTTCTCAGCCTTATTTATTATCCTTTTATTCTATTCTGTGGGACAGCTGCTAAACAAATATCCTATTTCCTGCGTATGTACTTTTGTTCAAAGTTGTCACCTGTCTTTCAAAAATCTACCTTATATGCTACTTCTTGGATACCAACAGAAAAAAATAAAATAATAAAAAAGCTTTACTTTTTAAAATTGAGATAGCAGTCTGTACCAGTTGACAGAGTAGAAACTTAACAAATAGTCCTAGTTTTGTTTTTGGTTTAACCTTATTAAAGATGTCACCCTGGGCAAGCAACTTCTCTAAACCCTAGTTCTGTCACTTGCAAAGCGAAGATTACTTATATCTCTTAGGGTTATTGTAAAAATTAAATGACATAAAATACACAAAATACCTAGCAGTGTTTTGCATATAAAAAGGCACAATAAACCTGTCTTTCCCTGTCACATTCCTTATCACAGTCTTTCTGCCTCATTACAATTACCTGTGTATGCGTCTTACCTACCTCCCTGCCAACAAGTTTTAGCAAAAGAGAGAGATTACATCGTATATATCTTTACATACTTAGTAACATCAAGTTCAATATCCTGTAAACAGTAGTTAGGTAATGTGTATTATTACACTGATTGAACAATGAATAAATCAAGAAACCTGTTTCTGCTATATATTTCTCTTCCAGTTTTGAATTTCTTAACTAAAAATATAACTGCATCAAAAATTAAATTAAAAAACATAAAGAACGCTAATTTAATAAATCTGTCCTTGAAATCTGAGATTGTTATATGGTTTTTGAATCCTTTCTTTTACTCTTACCTGTTATTTCATCACCGTTGGTAGAGAGCAGTTTCCAGATGAGGTAAGGACCACCAAGGATAACAGCAAAGAATAAGAATATTGGCCAAGATTTTGCTGAGTTAGCTGCTCTGTCCTCCGCACCAAGCATAGCCACAGTTCCTTCACTTTCTGCCCACAGGTCCTCATTCTCAGAGCCTCTTCTTAAACCTAGCATCCACTGTAACCGTCTATAAAGATACCTTATAGTCCTAAATAATGCAAAAGCTGAAAAAACCTTTGTGAAGTGTATTTTTAATCGGGAAAAATGATTTGCTACATCCAATACAGCCCTAAAACTATTATACACAGCTGAAAAGGTAGCATCCATCATCATACTGACAGAAGCAAATGCATGTACAATACTTTCAATGGATTGAAATGCACCTCTGCTGCTTTCTTCAGCTTGCTGAACGAATCTACTAGGCGGAAGATCATCTAAACGGAGGCGGTTATAGTTTAACCCATTATATCCATAATTATAAGGGCTATAGGTTCCATAAAATGAATTTCCATAGGCACCATATCCTGAAGAAAATGAGCTGTAAGCTGGTCTGAAAGTGTTCGGATTACTTCCTGTCTGCTGTGATGGCCGTGGAAGAATAGGTGGGGGCACTCTGGTAAGTGCTGGTTGTCCAGGTCTTGTCAGTAAAGTAGGACCCAAATCAGCAGATCTAAACCAAAAAAGATTCAAAACAGTAACTTAAACACAACAGCCTTAATCTAAATTAACTATTAAATACCTCCTATAACTAGTGCAATGAGGTTCTACTGAAGATATGTTAACAGTAAGGATTAATCTGTTAATATCTAGTTGGTTAGAATCTCAGTGTTAAGAGAAAATGCATAAAACAGCTGAATGAACATTATATTCTAGTTTATTTATGTTGGCATTATTAGTACTATCTTCAATCTGTTCTGTAGTTTTTTTTAAAGACACCTGTCCACTTTCTCAGAGTTGGCTGCTAGATATTTGTCCATCCTTGTACCTAAATGACAGTATCATAATTATTACAGTTTTATAATAGATCTTAGTATCCAATAAAACAAGTTCTCCCATAATGTTCTTCATCGTCAAGAATGCTTTGACTGTATGACCCTTTGAATTTCCACATACATTTTAGAATCAGAGCTAAAAGTTCTATAACCCTGTCTCCCCACCAAAACCATATTAAGATTCTGTTTGGGATTACACTGAATCTGTAGGTTAATTTGAGGTAACTGACATCTTTATAATACTGAGAGTTTCAACCTACAAATACAATATATGTTCCATTTATTTAGGTATGTTAAAGATTTTTCTCAAAAATGATTTTTAAAAATAACTTTATTGAGTCTAATGTTTTATAGTTTACTACATGGAGGTATTTTTTTATTTTTCATTTTTTGGTGCATGGTATCTTTCTAAAATTTTACTTTGTTACTGTTATGTAGAAATAATTGATTAAAAAATATGGTCCTTATATCCAGCCATCTTGTGCATTCTTCTCTTGGATTTTCTAGAATCTTAAGAATTTATAGTCACATTGTATATGAACACTGATAAGATTTATTTCTTCTTCTTTTTAATTCTTACACTTTATGTCTAGGACATGCAGTATACTCTTGAACGGTAATGGTAGCAGGCATCCTTGTCTCATTCCTGATCTTAAAGTTTTCAGCAGCTCACCATTATGCACTATGTTGTAACTTTAGTACTTGCTTTTCTATTTCTATTTGTTAAGAGTTTTTTTTTTTACCACAAATATAACACTGGATCAAATAATTTCTCAGCATTTAAGATGATTATGATTTTTCTTCTTTATTCTCTTAATATGATGAATTACATTAATACTCAAATGTTACAGCCAACCTACATTCCTGAAGTAAAACTGAAGAGCCAATATTTATTCCTGATTTGGTTTGCCAGTATTTTGTTAAATATATTTTTGCATCTATTTTATAAGTGAGAATGTCCTAATTTGCTTTTTACTGTCTTTGTCACGTTTGGGTATCAAGGTTGAACTGGCTCCTTATACAGAATTGAGGAGAAGCCCTGACCAGATGGCTTAGGTGATTGAAACATGATCCTGTGTACCAAAAGGCTATGGGTTCAATTCCTGCTCAGGGTACATGCCTAGGTTGTGGGTTCAATTCCCAGTTTGGGGCATGTATGGGAGGCAACCAGGTGATATTTCTCTTACATCCATGTTTCTCTCTCTCTCTCTCTCTCTCTCTCTCTCGTTCTCTCCCCTCCCCCCTCTTCCTACAATCAATAAAAACATATCCTTGGTTGAGGATTAAAAAAAGAATGAAAACTCATTCAAGGAAAAATTAATTTTATATAATAGCACAATAAAGATTCTAAATATGTTTAAGATGGTCAAAGAGACAATAAAGCAATAAATCTTTTGAAATACAAGTTAAAATGAAATGAAAACATGTTAATATGAAAAAAATTTTCAGTACAGATCTTAGACATGATGCCCACAACCACAGGGCTTATCTTGCAACTATGAGGCAAGGAAAAACAAAACAAAACAAAACCTAAGGCACAAAATAGAAATACGGAACATAGGGAATTCCATTTCAAGCAATGGTATTCCTGGAATCAGACTAAGCTTTGCACTAAAAATAACTAGAAAAGCTAGAAAATATATAAAAGTGCCAACTGAGGAATTTTGGAGCCAACAACCATGAAGAAGAGAAAACCCAGAGAGCCCACTTTGAGATATTTCTCAAGTGACAAGGGCCAATTCTGGGAGACATGGCTGACAGGATGAGAAGCAGAGCCTTGGTTTTAATAGACTCCTTGGGCTAAAGAGACAAAATTAGAGTTTAGAACCCTTGAAAAAGAGGGCCAACATAAATCCCCATACTATGGACTGGGCCTTTAAAGAGACATACACTAGGAGTAAGGGTAAGGGTTATAGGAAATAGACTAGTCCTAGTAGGAACTGAAACCACAGCTTCAAATGAGCTCAATCATGATTGGATTCAAATGATCCTAGATTGCCAGTGGCCCAACGTGCCTGTCAAAAGTAAAACTCACTGGAGCAAGTTACCACCTAGGCCTCAAACAGTTTAAAATTGACTATATACAATGTTCAGCTTTCAATAAAAAATAATTAGGCCTATATGATAACAAAATTACATGTTTAAAAAAAGCGACATTAGGCAATACAAAGAGATCCACAGTGGGTAATGATAATGGAGTTATTAGTCAAACTTTAAACAACTATGATCAATATATTCAAGGAAAATGGACAAGACTGAAATTTTTCAGAAAATAGAAACTATAAAGCAAAACCAAAGGGAAATTCTAAAACTGAAAAGAAAAACAAATACCTGAAACCATAAACTCAATGACTAGTTTAATTTCAGATTAGACACCCTTAAAGAAAAATATCAATGAACTAGAAAAAAGTTTGGAAGAAAACACTGAGAATGAAGCACGAGTAACCAAAGCATACATACATACATATGAAAAAAAAAAAGATGGTAAGACAGGGTATATAGTGAAATACAGAGCATATATGTAATTGGAGACAAATGAGTAAAATGATGATCAGAAGCAATATTTAAAGAGATAATGGATGAGACTTTTCTAAAATTAATGAAAGACATCAAGTCAGATTCAAATATCTCTATAAATCTCACCTAAAATGACTAAAGAAAACCACAGTAATGCTCAGAAAAGCATCACTTTTGTAAAACCAAAAACAGAGAGAAATCTGGAAAGCAGCCAGAGGATAAAGAGATTCCTTTCGAAGGAGTAGAAATAACACAGATGGCCAAAACTGTTAGAAAGCTCACAGGTTAAAAAAAAAAGGAAGTCAGAAAAAAAAAAGTAGACCCCTTGATGACAATTTGAGTCGACAGATCTCTACACTTCTTGTTAACTAAACAATAAATGCCAAAGTACAGTGGGCCAGATATTGTTACTTACAGCAGAAACTATCCCTGATACAATGTTTAATAGGAGTTCCAGAAGAGATGGGAAAGATTAAGTACTCAATATTTAAAAATATAACTGGGATTCCTGGTTGGTATGGTTCAGTGGATTGAATGCCAGCCTGTGAACCAAAGGGTTGCTGGTTCAATTCCCATTCAGGGCACATACCTGGGTTGCTGGCCAGGTCCCCAGTAGGGGGTGCTCAAGAGGCAACCACACAACGATGTTTGTCTTTCTTTCTCCCTCCCTTTCCCTCTCTAAAAATAAATAAATAAAATCTTTTTTAAAAGATACAACTGATAAGAATTTTCCTGAATTAAATAAAGACATGTATCTTTAGACTAAGCACTATGGGTTCTGAGCAGAAGAAAAAAAAGGTTTAAATATGTGTGTGCATATTCACACTGTGATAGAGCATAAAAGGCTCTATCAGAGTGGTCCTCCTAGCAGAGAACCAAAGTGTCAGGTGAAATCTTAAAGGCTCTTAAGGAAAAGATAACCTACCTATAAAGGAATAAAAATTAGACTAAACAGAAAAATTTCTTTAAGTTATACAGCTTTGATACAAAGCCAGAAAAATATGATAGTACAAAGAAATAAATTATAGGCCTACTTCACCTAGGAACATATATGTAAAGATCTTAAAATATCAGAACAGATCCTAGCATTGTATTTTACAAAATCATCACAATTAAGCAGAGTTCATTCAGAAATGCAAAGATGATTCAACAGTAGAAAGTTAACTGATACAGTAAACCACATTTTCATATTAAACTAAAAATGCACACAATGATCTCAATAGACAGAATAGTTATTCATAAAATCTAGTATTTCTTTGTAATAAAAATCTGAGCAAGGCAGAGAGCTAGAAGTTCAATAAGAAATCTATCAAAAACAAAAATCAAACATTATACTTAATTGTGAGACTTGAGAAGCATTCCAATGAAAGTGAGAACAATACAGGCCAAATTCTTGGCCACAAGAATGTGGGCCAAATTTCTGGTCAAGATGGCATAGATGAACACGGCTCACCTTCACACACAACTACATCAGTCAGAGTTACAACTAAAAATAACCATCACTCAGAACCATCAGAAATTGAGGTGAATAGAAGTCTGACAACTACGGAATTAAAGAAATCACATCCATCCAGACGGGTGAGAGAGGCCAAGATGTGGAACGGGCTGGTCCCTCACCCACACGTGGTGGATATATATTCGGGAGGGATATATTGGGAGCAAGGAGTCCCAGCCCCACACCAGGACCCCCAGGTCAGGGTTCCAGTACCAGGGAGATAAGACCCCATAACTTCTGGCTGCAAAAACCAGTGGGGATTGAGTTGGTGGAAGAAACTTCTAGAGTCCCAAGCAGTTCCTTTTAAAGAACCCACACAGGGACTTAATCAGACTCACTCCTTTTGAGCTCCAGCACCATGGTAGCAGTTTGAAAGGCCCCAGTTGCACACAGGGAGAAACTGAAGTGTCTGGTATCAAGGCAAGAGCTGTGGGACAGCCTTCTCCTACACAGAAAGGGGGGGGGCATTGTCCTTTTATTGAACCCTTCCCCCACAGAGGCACAGTGCCAGCAGGCTGGTGCCATATCAGAGACTCTATCAGCCTGGCTGATACTGTTTGCCCTGCTCTGGAGATCCCCAGAGACTCAGGGCCAGCCAGCTTTTCCATATGAATGGCTGGTCCTGGCTCATGCTTCACAACATCCTAAATCCTTTTTAACAATAAA